CATATAGGATTATATTATATCTAAAGAACTGATGAGGGGTGGAGCTTCAAACACCCCTTGTTCAATTTGGATTTGTACCTTCATCAACTTTCAGATGTGATGAATATGTTTCAAGCTCAGACACTCATTGTGGAGCTAAGTTTGGCTCTGGGATTTGAACCCTGCACCACAGATCAATGAAGCACCAACAGCCATGGGACAAACCCACTAGGCTACCTGCCAGCTGTAATCACAAAGGTTTTACTTCCCTATGTTTAGCCACTTACCTGGGTGAAAGTGAAGAACACTTTCAAAACTGCAAACTAAGTTTTTCACATTGTGTTACCAAAGTTGGAGCTGGGATTCGAACACTGATCTTCCTGCACCAAAGTTATGTGACTTCACCACCAGACTAACTCCCAGCTCTCACTAATAAAGTTTTAACTTCCCCAAGTTTGGCCAATTAAGCCAAATGTGAAGTAAACTTTAAAAACCAYTTAAACTAAGTTTCTTGAAGTCTCAGTATGTTTCAACAACCTAAGAAAACACCAACTTTGGTTACTTTGTAGAAATGAGGCTGACTCTGATCATCTCAAAGCCAATGAGTATCAAGTTTATAAAGATCTAAAGAGATATTTTACTCACGAGGAACTTGATGTGATGTTTTACATTCTTGTACAATTGTTCAAATAATGAAGCAGAGCAACAAAAMACTCAGCAAACAGTATGTGGTGTTTGGACACATTTGGGTGATATGTTTTCATTTTAGACAACTTTTTATTAGTTTCTGGTATTTGGACGACAATTTATTAGAACTGATTAAAGCTGAATACAGATATTCAGTTATTTTCTTTCAAAAATAATTAAGAATTTTAAAATTTCAATCTCTTGTGACGTCAGGTTAAACTTATTACAAATTAAAAAAATATAGCAGTTTCAGGTAAAACAAACTCCCAACATTTAGTGTATTTGATCAGATTGGTATTTTTAAGGTTTTTGTGGAAATCTTAAGTCATTTAAAACAGCTTGTTGATGGGGGTGAGACGTTTATTTTGATATGGCCACTAGAGGGCGCCAAAATCAAGTGTTGATATTTTTCTTTTAATGAGTTGTTTACTTATTTCCAGAAGAATAAATAATGTATGAACGTTTTTCCGAGATATTCTAAGACTGAAATGAAAAACACTTTTGAATTTCAAAGTACATTTGACCAACTCTCAGAAAACAAATCATGAAGCACAAATGGCCTTAATGAGCTTATGTTTCGTTCACATTCAAGCTGAAAAGACTAACATTATTAAAATTAGTCCATTGCTCTCGGAAAGCAACTAAACGGCTAAAAAAAATGGCAGAGGCACGTTTCTGTGCTGTGGCTTCACAGCAATCTAAAATCTAACRTTTGAAGCTGAAACATTTCACAGTTGAAACCAGCTCAACCTACAGCTAAAACAAACAGCAGCACTGAAAATGGTGCAGTTTGGTGAGTCTTAACAGCTGCTTTTTTTTATTTTCTCCTGAGGGGTAAAATCCCTCTGAAGCTGTGTGAAAATGCCAGAACATGAGCTGAAAATATCGACTCACAAAACAAACCTGAAGAAAAACGATCAAACTTTTAAGTACTTGTTTTTTGTTTGACACGTTTTTCTAAAGTGATAAAGTTTATTCTGCGGCACGTCCAACGTTCACGTTGGGCGGAGGAATCTTCAGCTCTCCACAAAGGGACCGCAGCAGTTTGTATTTTTACCGCCGGTGCCACACGGCTGCAGTGGCTTCAGTCGAACACGTCGGCCTCCGGCGCAGCGATGAGCCGAGACTCCCCGTGATGCAGAGTGAAGAAGCTTTCTGCTTTCAGTCCTTTCTGCTCCAGAGCTTCTCTGAGGCGAACCGGGGGCTCCAGGTAGTTCTGCACAGAGAAACCGGGTGAGAGCATGCAGCTGAAAATAACACGTTAGTTACAGACTGCAAATGTAAAAGGTTTTGTTTGGGCCGCWGTCAGACCAGCTTTCTAGAGCAGGTAAGATGTTGATTACCAACATGTGTGCTGCGTTTTTAGATGAGACTGCAGTTGAGAGGAAAATTGATCAGATATTAATTTAAAAAGATTTCATTTAATAACTTCCTGCTCAGAGTTAGACCATTTAAATGTTCGGCCCAATTATTTTGTTTCTCTCTTACAGCCCTTTGATCTCGCTCATACTGGAGAAGTTAGAAGAAAAGGAACAAATTGATTTTCTTTAATAACTGAGCCCAATGCACATAAGTTCATATCAGAACTCTGGCTTCGATTGTAAAGGACTTAAAAACTTATATCCCTCAATAATTAGCAAATCAGTCTAATAAGACTTCTCCCTCTCTATTAAAAGGAAACGACCATAAAGAGGTGGGCAAAGATCCAGCAGCTCATCAATTATCAGCCCCTCATACGCACTCAAAGTTTAACAAGTCGTCTGTTTTCCTCACAGACTGAGAATTAAAGCAGGATTAGAGGCTTAGTGTGAAGTAACCGCAGGGTCACGAACCTGCTTCACCTTTAGCTCAGGTTCATGACTTGGAGGGGGGAGGGGGGCGCTCTCATCTTACAAGAACCAGAGAGACCAGTTCGATCTCTTAAGGACGACAGAGAGAATCTTTTCTCTCGTTTGTTTGTAAGAAGTTACAGTTTTAATTTAAAAAAAAGAACAGAGTCTCACAGCGAGTTTGTAGAAAGAGGAAGTCCTGTAGGAGGACAGGAAACTGGTTATTTTCAAAACAAACCTTAAAATGTCATTGACACGAGAGAAAAACGYGTCATTAAACACTGGCACATTTTATCTAGTGATGGGACACAGTTTTGAGAGGCCTCCCATTTTTTCCCAATAAGGGCCAAGAACTTTGGAGACTTCATCGTTATTTTCCTTTAATTTGTGCTCAGTGTAGTGCTACGATAAAAGGTAATGTGTTTTTACACCCTCACACAGGTAAAACGCTCTCTATTTCACACAGAATTACTTGCCAAACAAAATATGTTGTGTATCTATTGAAACGTCCTTGTGGCCTGGCCTATAATTAAATTAAATTAGAATTAAAAACCAGGTTTTCAGAACATAAAACATTTTATGACAGCTGGATGTTTGGTCCTTGAAATTTCAAGGCATAGAAGTTGTTCCTGCTCTCAAAAGAGGAGGTGATAGAGATAAACGTCTGCTACAAAGGGAAGCATTCTGGATCCACTCTTTACAGACTGTTCACCCTAAAGCAGAGATTCTTAACCCATGGGCCGCGGCCGAGCGCCACCTTGAGGGCCTCAGAAGAACAACAGTTTTTAATTTTGGGCCGCAGACCGCATTGATTTTGAACAAGGTGCAATACACTTTCTCACCACTAGTAGCGGTAGTGCGCCACTCAGATGTTTAACAACTTTTTTAATATGTAGAAGAAGAACCTTAGAAACCTGCCGAGAATGGAAACTTAGGCTGTGTCCAAAACGGCAGGATGGGTCCTCCGGCGGACCCAGACTCCCCGGTCTCGGCAGGCCGGGTCCTTGGTAGACCGGGAAGACCGGAAAAAAGAG